GGGGCGAGGCTGGGGGAGAGGGAGGGGCCTGCGCAGGGAGTGAGTCTGGGGGAGAGGAAGGAGCCTGCAGAGATGAGATCAGAGACGGTGGGGTCGGCAGAGGGGGCGTGGCCATAGAAGGAGTGGCTTGTGGAGGGGGCGTAGCCAGGGAAGAGGGAGGGACCTGCAGAGGCTGTGAAGCCAGAGAAGGTGGGGCCTGTACAAGAGGTGTGGCCAAAAGAGACTCTAGAGGACAAGAATCCTGCAGAGAGAGCGTGGTCAGGAAACAGAGAGAGGCCTGCGGAGGAGATGTGGCCAGAGGAAGATGGTCCTGCTTTGGGGGCGTGGCCTGAAGAGGAGGTGGAGACAGGGGAGGTGGGGCCAGAGTAGGGGGCGTGGTCAGAGATGAGGGAAGGCTCGGAAGAGGGGGTGTGGCTAGAGGAGAGGGCGGGTTCAGCGGCAATGTGGCCAGAGAGATGGAAGCCTGTGGAGGGGGTGTGGCTGGTGACGAACGAGGCAACAAAGGAGGTATGGCCAAGGGAGAGGGAAGAGGGGACACAGCCAGAGAAGCCTGGGTGGGGGGCATACTCTGCAGAGGGGGTGAAACTGATGGTGAGAATGGAGCCAGAAAAGTGGGCGTGGCCTGGGGAGAGGAGCTGGCCCTCGGAAAGGATGTACCCTGCCAAGAGGGTGGAGCTTGCAGAGGGGGTGTGGCTGGTGGAGAGGGGAGGGTTGGTCGAGGCAGGGTAGCAGAAGGGGCTAGTGGAAGGGGCGTGGTCAGAAGACAGGGACGGTCGTTGGGAGGGGATGTGGCTGGTGGGGAGGGCAGGGCCTGAAGACCGAGGTTGGCTGGCAGAGGGGGTGTGGTCGGTGGAGAAGATGGGAGCGTAGCAGGCAGCCGGGAGGCAGTGATTTGGGGAGGCGGTGCCTGCTGTGTGCCTGGACCCTGCAGAGAGGATATGGCCAAAGAGGGAGACTGGCCCCGCCCAGGGGCTGCAGCCTTCCTTGGGGGTGTGGCCTGCGGGGGGCGCAGAGCCTGGAGTCCTTTTGACTTGGACTGGGAGGGATGCGCCAGAGCCCGGGGTGTCCCTCTGGCCGAGGCCCCGGAGCGGACTGGAGAGGACAGAGGGGCGGTGCTGGAGCCCAGGGGGCGTGAGGCCGGCCTCTGGAGGCCACCGCCGGCGCTAGGCCGCCTCCTGGCAGCTGGGCTCGGCTCAGCAGCGCTGCGCTCCACGGCGCTGCTCACTGATCTCCTGGGGGCCTCGATTGGGGGCCGCTGCCGGGCACTCGGAGCTGCCTGGGGGAGTCCCCCCTCGACTTCGGGCACCCGGGACCGACGGGCGATGGCCGGGGAGGGAGCACCAGAGTTGGGCCTAGAAGAGTCTGGAGGCAAAGCAGAGGGCCAAAGGGTCACCCGGTAACCCTTGCTGCCCAGAAGCCTCGCTCCTCCCCAGGTCTCGTACCTCTCCGTGCCCCGGCGCTCGGGCCGCTCCTTCTGTGCACCTCCGGGACTTTTCCTCTAGCCACAGTCTCCTCAGCCGGGGGTCGAAATCCCTTCTGGCCAGGAGGTCCCGTCCTGGGGACAGGAGGGGCAGCGCTCAGGGCAGAGCCCTAGCTCCTTGTTTGACCTCCCAAGTTTCCATTTTCCCATCTGTGAAACAGGGCATTTACCCTCTTCGCAGACTAATAATGGCTTTCACCCAGCTTGAGCCCAGGAATCTGCAAACGTTCAAACACCCCCTCAACTCATGTGTAAAATTAAAAGGTTCCAGATAGTGACGCAAACTCTTGCCCAGAGGATTGGGCGGGGAGGGGGGCTGGGTTGTTACCTGGCAGTCCCGCTGGCATGTGCCGGACTAGAGATAGAGCCCGGACCGGGAGCCTTGGCAGGGGCCCTCTCCACCCTCGCAGCCGCTGGGGGCCTGGAGGCTGTGGGAAGAAGCCGAGTCAGCTGTGCCCCGGAAGGCGGGAGGGGAGTCTGGTGCCTCGGGAAAAGGCGGGGAGGGAAGATAGGGTTGGGATCGAGAAAGAAGGCTGGGGTACCTGGACTCCGGGGGCCTGTCCCGGCGATCCGCGCTGGTCCCACCCGGGGAGCGGCCTCGGGGAGAGTGGCTCCGCCCATGCCCCCAGTTCGCTCTGCCAGGGGCCTTCGCCCCGCTGCTCCTAGAACTCGGAGGGCTGCGGTGGTTACTGGAGGAGGGGGTCGAGGAGACCCTGGGGGCCTGGGGGTTGGAAGGCCGGGAGGGCGAGAAGCCGGCGTCCGCGCAGTGGCCCCAGCCTTGGCCCTCTTGTCCATCCTGCACCTGATGAGCAGACTGACCCATCAGCATCCCAGGTCCTGCACCGCGATGCTGCCTGCGGGGACCAGGGTCCTCGCTGCCTCTTCCCCAGCATCGCCACTCACGGGCGCCGGAACCTCAGCCTCTGCCTCCATCGCTTCCCTCCATCCTACCCATCCAGCAGCCCCGCTGCTCAGCTGGTTGTCCCCAAGTCCCAACCCTACTGCCTTCCCCAAATGCTGGAAGCCCTGCCCGCCCTGGCCCACCACCGCCCCACTGCCCCTCCTGCTCCCTTCCAGGACCCGAGACCCACGCCCCCAACCGTCGCCCCCTCGGGGACCCAGACGGCCAGCCACGGGGACTGGCAGACGCCACGGGCTCCAGAGGAAGGGAGGAGGCCCAGAGCACCCTCCCCGGCCTTCCCAAGGGACCCCGGCACCTGCCGAGAGAAGGAGCGGCCCCGGCTGCCCGCGAACGGGCTCCGGAGACAAAGAGCCGCGTCTGGACTGGTCCCCTCCCCGCCCAGCCCAGCTCAGTCTGCGCGCAGCCCTCCACCTGCTCCGCCGCGCTCACCTCTGGCTCTGGCCGCCTACCGCTCTCACGCGGGGCGCCTGGGGTGGGGCAAGTCCGGCGCCTCGGCGGCCGCTGTAGCCCGAGAGCAAGAGGAGGGGGCTGCGGCGGGGGCGC